GATCACGTAAAATACAGGACCCCTACATCCATCTACTATGCCTTCTAATAAAAAAAGGAATAAAACAGCTCAGATTTAAATATTTTGCTACCATGAAAACCAAACAAAGGGTTATAACTACTGTTTGATTGTTATGACTGTGCTAGGTTTGTTTAAAAAATCAATGAAGTCCATACTAGGTTTGTTTAAAAAATCAAGGAAGTCCATAAAGTACACAGTGTTCTTTTTCTGTCTCCTCAAAGGCAGCCCCTCCTGAATGAATTAAAACAGCAATATGTGAGGTATCAGGTTATCGCGCTGTGTGAGTGATGTCTCATTTTACAACATGAAGAATCCATGTCTTCTATGCATTTTACCGTAGGTGTGAGCTTACACTATATTCCATTGCTTTTTCAAAACTGAAGCAATAGTAGATGTACTTTTTAAAATTATTTTTTTAATCTTTCTTTCTTTCTTTCTTTCAATTTAAGCAGAGAGAGAAAGCAAGCGAGAAAGCAAGCCACCAGGTCTGGTACTCAAACCGTAGTCAGCCATGTGGGAGTCCAGTGCCTTTAACTACCACACCACCTGCTAGTCCACGGATACACTTTTTAAAAAAGATTTATTTAAGTTCATTTATTATTATTATTATTATTATTATTATTATTATTATTATTATTATTATTATTATTATTATTATTATTATTATTAATTTGGCCAGAGAGGGACAGAATGAAAGAGAGAGAATGAGAAAGCAAGCCATGTCTGGGACTTGAACCACAGTTGACCATGTGGGAGTCCAGTGCCCTTAACCACCATACTACTTGCTGGTCCTGTTATTTGATATAAATATTTTATATAAATATTTTTAATTTAATAAAAGATTTAGCCTTGCTGCAGACTTAAGTATAGGTAGGTATTATTTTCTTGGGGCTTGCCACAAGTTCTGTTCAATATCCCAACTAGACACGGACATGTCAAAACTCACTAAACCAGTTAGTGAGGGCCAAGTGACAGAACTGCTTACAGAGCAGCCTAAGTATGCTAAAAAGTCTTCTAATGATTTTAAGACCAATTTAGAGCTGGTAGCTTAACTTTCCAATAAATAGGTTGAAATTACATATATAGCAAATGTTATACATGTTGCCTCCAAAATGTTTTTCTCATGTTACACAGAGCTATAGTGTATTTTATTGTGAAAATACCATCCCAATATGCTCCAAATATTTGCATTCTTGAAAAAGTTACTATCATTTTGGGACTCTAAATTTTCTTTTGGATTTTATATCCTACTCTCCTGCATATATGTGTCTTATCAAAGCAGATAGACAGATGTTATTTCTTGCTCCCTAAATCCTACTGACTTATGTCATCAATGAAAATGACTATTGTGATGATCTAGGGGATGTTGAAATAGTTAAGAAGTCTGCAAATGAAATCATGGTCCAAAGATAGAACAAGAATAATATACCTAGAGTTAGATAATAAAGGTATAGTATTTTTCAAGCCAGGTGAAGTAAATTCCAGAGAGAGAGGGGAAAGTGAGAAAGCACCCTCAGAGGTAGGCATGCTGCAATTCCTTCTCCATTCTTCTCTTGGAGTTTTGGGGCCAGAACACATGTACATACATCTGGTGTGTTTTTCACACTGCTGGATCCAGGATTTGAACCATGTAGTCAACCATGTGGAGTCCAGCTACCTTAACCTTCTTGCCTTCTCCTGGCCCTAGCTGCTGCTACTCCCCACCCCACCCCCCAAATTCTCTAAGTTGTTGGTTGTGTATCAGTTTAAATCTATTTCAAAATATTGCTAAGTTTTCTTTTACAGTGAAGAACACCTAAACTAACGTTATTTTAATAAGCCAAAAAACAGCTCTTCTAAAATCTAACATTCTACCTTTAAAATTTAATATCCTCCTATTGCGAAAGAAGCTCTCTATGGGACCATCAGTTAGCGTAATGACTATGTCACTGGATTCCCATGTAGTTGACTGTGGTTCGAGTCCTGGACCCGGTGGCTTAAACTCATGTCGGGCGTGTGTGCTGGCGTGCCCAAGATCCCGAGAGGAGAATGGAGGAGAAGGGATTGTGGCGTGGCCATCCCCCCTGGGGGGTGATTTCTCGGTTTGTCTCTCTGTCTTTCTGGCGAGTGCACACGCCCTATAGCAAAAACCTCTCAAAAAAAAAAAAAAAAAAAACCTCGTTTAGTGCTTATCAAACTTTAGCTGGTACCACAAGCCAAAAAATTGAGGACAGGTTTAAGCTAGGGAAGTGGCGGTTATGTGGTTTTAAATGTAATTTTACAGGAGATGACGTAAAATACAGGAACCCTACATTCATCTACTATGCCTTCTAATAAAAAAAGGAATAAAACAGCTCAGATTTAAATATTTTGCTACCATGAAAACCAAACAAAGGGTTATAACTACTGTTTGATTTTTATGACTGTGCTAGGTTTGTTTAAAAAATCAATGAAGTCCATAAAGTACACAGTGTTCTTTTTCTGTCTCCTCAAAGGCAGCCCCTCCTGAATGAATTAAAACAGCAATATGTGAGGTATCAGGTTATCGCGCTGTGTGAGTGATGTCTCATTTTACAACATGAAGAATCCATGTCTTCTATGCATTTTACCGTAGGTGTGAGCTTACACTATATTCCATTGCTTTTTCAAAACTGAAGCAATAGTAGATGTACTTTTTAAAATTATTTTTTTAATCTTTCTTTCTTTCTTTCTTTCAATTTAAGCAGAGAGAGAAAGCAAGCGAGAAAGCAAGCCACCAGGTCTGGTACTCAAACCGTAGTCAGCCATGTGGGAGTCCAGTGCCTTTAACTACCACACCACCTGCTAGTCCACGGATACACTTTTTAAAAAAGATTTATTTAAGTTCATTTATTATTATTATTATTATTATTATTATTATTAATTTGGCCAGAGAGAGAAGAAGTAAGAAAGCAAGCCATCAGGTCTGGGACTCAAACTGCAATTTACCATGTGGGTGGACAGTGCCTTAACCAGCATGCCACCTGCCAGTCCCACAAATAAACTTTGTTTTAATGCGGAGTGATTTCAAAATATCTTACTGAAATTGTACAATTGGGACCAGCAGATGGCATGGCGGTTAAGGTGCTGGACACTCCCACATGGTCAACCACCATTTGAGTCCCGGAACTGGTGGCTTGCTTTCTCACTTGCCCTCTCTCTTTCTGTGTGTGTGTGTGTGTCTCTCTCTGGTCAAATTAAAATAAATGAATGAATAAATAAAATAAAATAATTCTGTTTTAAAAACTGTGTAATTGGTGAAATACAAAATGAGCATAATTTAAAATTTAGGCCATAGTAATGTTTGGACCTAGGTCATTCTGAAATTGCTGTTAAATATTTGGCTCTGAAGAAAAGTTTACTGGGACCAGCAGTTGGCGTAATGGCTGTGTTGCTGAATTCCCATGTAGTCAACTGTGGTTTGAGTCCCGGAGGCTTAAACTCACGCCAGGTGCATGTGCGTGCATGCTCAAGATCCCTAGAGGAGAATTGAGGAGAAGGAAAATCACCCCTGGGGGGTGATTTCTCGCTTTCTGTCTCTCTGTCTCTGTCTCTCTGGCGAGTGCACATGCCCTATAGCAAAAACCTCTCCAAAAAAAAAAAAAAAAGAGAGAAATAGTTTACTAAAGTGTGTATTTTTTTAAAAAAGAATAATTTAATTGTATTCATTGTCATTATTATTATCATTTTAATATGACCAGAGAAAGACAGAGACAGAGAGAGGGAAAGTGAGACAGCAAGTTGCCAGGTCCAGGACTTGAACTACAGTCAGCCATGTGGGAGTCCAGTGCACTTAACCACTGTACCACATGCTGGTCCCCTAAAGTATGTATTATTATATTGGAATAAAAACCTCTTGATGCAGACAAGAGAAGCCTTTAAAGAAGCTTTTTGAGAAGACGAAGCTAACTTGGGAGTAGTACTAAACCAGCTAGCTGTAAGACAGTGTGGGGGGCCAGCAGATGGCGTAATGGATATGTCGTTGGACTCCCACATGGCTAGCTGCAGTTCAAGTCCCTGACTTGGCAGCTTTAACTCACGCCAAGTGTGTGTGTATAAGTGTCCCAAACCCCAAGAGCACACACTGGGGGGGTGTGATTCCTCGCTTTCTGTCTCTCTGTCTCTTCAGCAAGTGCACTCACCCTATAGCATAAATCTCTTAAAAAAAAAAATTAAAGATGGTGGTGGAAAGGACAGATTTTTTTCCCAGAACCATGGAGTAATCTGTCTTACTTCAGAGCCACCCTGTGAAATGCTAGCTGTAATAGTTAGCCATCACAATATCACACAGGTTTGGTACATGTGAATGATTCATGTTTAAAATTTGGTTTCCGTGACCTAACCCTTCCACTCAGTAACCTGGTCCTTTCTGTGTATTTGGTATTGTTCAGGAGTGATAACTGACTTCAACCTAACAAACCAGTTTTAGATCCAAACAAACATTACCCTTTGAGTTTGGTTACTTGGCAAGGTTTCACATTTATTCCAGTGATTTACCGGTATTTAGAATTTGCATCTTCTCCTTTAGAATTGCCATTAAAACCTTAGCAATACCCTTGTCAATATACCGAAGGTGTAAAATTTTCATTCTCAAAGGTGATTTCCAGAAAGAGCTAGACATCATTCAGAACTTTGTTAAAGCAGATAATCAATACAGGAACTTAAAGAATAATGTTTAGCACTAAGTCATGAGATCTATTGTGTGATGACTTGTAAAATATGGCTCCAATAATACTTTTTTTAAAATTTACCTTTATTATCATTATTTTCCAATTTGACCAGAGACAGACAGAGAGAGAGAAAGTAAGAATGCAAGCCACCAGTTCCGAGACCTGAGCTGCAGTCGGCCATATGGCAGTCCAGCGCTTTTAACCACCATGCCACCTGCCGGCCCCTCCAATAGTACTTTCTAAAAAAAAGTTTTGAACAATGGCATTAATGGCATTATGTCCCCTCTTTGAAGATGACTGCTTTAAAAAACACTTCTTTTTTTTTTTTCTTACTTAATTATTTAATTTTATTTATTCATTCATTTATTTTACTTTGACCAGAGAAAGACACAGAGAGAGAGAGAGGGAATGTGAGAAAGGAAACCACCGAGCCTGGGACTCAAACCATGGTTGGCCATGTGGGAGTGTCCAGCACCTTAACCACCATGCCACCCGCTGGTCCCCTAAAGAACACTTCTTTGAGCACAGCTGTGTGGTGCAGGTAGTAGGGGACCTTTATGCAATTGCTGGAATCCATGTGGAAAACCAAGGGTTTGGATCCTGGGCCCACCTGAGCATACAGGCATACGTGTGCACCCATGAGTCTGGCTTGGTGGGAATCACAGCGTGATGGGACCCTGTCAAGGGTGCTTTCTCATCAAAGAAAGAAGGCACATGTATTTGATCTGTATGTTCAGGTTCATATGTTTGTAAATTCATCATTTTTACCTCATTGTTATATCTTGCATGAATAACAGGGGAAGGTTTCAAAGCTAAACAGTGAAGAAGATTAAATTACTTTGTCAGCCCTCTAATAATTGTGATTAGGCAGGTAAATGAATAAGAGAGACATCGAGAGGATGTTTTATGACATTAGTGGAAGCAGGTCGAAATCTGAGACAGTCTAATATTATAATTATAGGCTTCTAAAGGCAGGAGGAAATTATGAAGATTTCAAGGACTTCTTGTGTGTTCCTTTGGGTTCATCAAATTCAAAGAGGGAATTTATAGCTAAATTGCATAGGACACACACATGCAGTTTTATAAATTTTTTTTCTAACTGTAAACATTTAAAAATCATTAAAAAATACAGGTGACAAAAACCTATTTATAATCACATCTACAGAGAAATCCTTACTGACCTTGTTTTTTTTTTTCAAAGAATCATTTATTTAATTTTATTTGTCATTATTATTATTTTTAAATTTGCTACAGGGCACATGCACTCAACAGTCAGAGACAGAGAGAGATAGTGAGGAAGCACCACGCCACCTGCTGGTCTCTCTCACTAACTTTGTTAAATTCCTTTCTTATATATATATATTATTTTATAACATTAAGATAATAATAAATGTATAATTTTGAATACACTAAATTAATTTTTCCCCTTATATTATTTAAAAATTTTTTTTGTTTTTATTTAATTTATTTTTTTGGAGAGGTTTTTGCTATAGGGCGCATGCGCTCACCAGACAGACAGAGACAGAGAGATGGAAAGCGAGAAATCACCCCCCAGGGGGGATGGCCATGCCGCAATCCCTTCTCCTCCATTCTCCTCTCAGGATCTTGGGCACGCAGACACACGTGCCCGGTGTGAGTTTAAGCCATTGGGTCCGAGACTCAAACCGCAGTCGACTACGTGGGAGTCCAGCAACATAGCCATTACACTAACTGCTGGCCCCTCCCCTTATTTTATCATATTTACTCAAGGCAATAAAAATTTTAAGAACAAAATATTCAGTTGGCAGTTGTTTAGGCTTTTTAAATAATTATTTTTTTTACTTAACTTTATTTATTTACTTATTTGTCTTAAATTGATCAGAGAGGGATAGAATAAGAGAGAGAGAGAGGAAAATGAAAAATGAGAAAGCAAGCCACCAGGTCTAGGACTTGAACTGCAGTCAGCCATGTGGGAGTCCAGTGCCTTTAACCACCATGCTACCTGCCCAGCCCCTAGACTTAAAAAAAAATTATTTAATTTTATTTATTCATTAATTTATTTTAATTTGACCAGAGAGAGACATGGGGGTGGGGGAGTGAGAAACCAAGCCACCAAGTCTGAGACTTGAACCTTGGTTGGCCATGTGGGAGTGTCCAGTGCTTAAACTACTGTGTCACCTGCTAGTCCCTAGATTTTTATTATCCATCTCCATATAGTTTATAAAGTTTGCACTTCAACTATTTAAACTGTGTTATTAAACAAATAATAAAAAGTTACATTATTCTCTCAAATTTATGGTATCAAAAGAGTCAGAAAAAAATTATGAGGCAAAAATATCTGTTGGGATTATGCCATAGGCTTCAGTTACTGTAAATGTTCTCTCTGTTAATGTAGCCATAGTTTTCCTATACACAGAACTAAGAGGGAAAAACGATCTCTTCTCTCTCTTGCTGAAGGTGGTTGGAGGCAAGGTAAAGAAGCCTGGTAAACGTGGCCGGAAGCCAGCCAAAATTGATTTGAAAGCCAAACTCGAGAGAAGCCGGCAGAGTGCAAGAGAATGCCGGGCCAGGAAAAAGCTGAGATACCAGTACTTGGAAGAGTTGGTGTCCAGTAGAGAAAGAGCTATATGTGCCCTCAGAGAGGAGCTGGAAATGGTAAGAAAGTCTGTCAATAAACGCATGAAAGATCAACCTCAGCTTCGCAGTAAAAGAAACACATATCAAAACGTGAAATTGCTAGTTTGTACCTATCCAGTTGGCAGAAATTAAAAAGAATATTCAGGAGCCAGCAGGTGGCATGGTGCCCAAGGCACTGGGCTCCCACATGGCCAACTGTGGTTTGCATCCCAAACCTGATGGCTTGCTTTCTCATTCTCCCTTTCTCTCTCTCTCTCTCTTGTCAATTGAAGAATAACAATAACTAAATAAAGTTAAATAAATTATTAAAAAAAAGATATTCATCTGTTAGCGAGGATGTAAGTGAATAGGTATTTTTGTACATTGCAGAAGGTACATGACTATTTTTAGGGCCAGCAGGTGGTGTGGTTAGGGGCTCTAAACTCCCACATGGCTGACCACAGTTTGAGTTTCAGCCCTGGCAGCTTTCTTTCTCTCTCTTTCTCTCTCTCTCCTCTCTGATCAAATTAAAATAAAATGAACAAATGGTAAATAAAGTTAAATAGCAAAAACCTCTCCAAAAAAAAAAAAGTTAAATAAAAAATTCTTCAAAAAATTTCATAAGAATATTGAAAAAAAAAAGGTAAATGACTATTTCATTGAGATATTGTTTATAATAGGGAAAAAAAAAAAAGGAAACTAACCCAGATGTACAACAGTAGGGGATTGGTTAAATAAATTACACTTACCTATTGGGCTACTTTGTAGCCAGTAAAAATCACAGTGCGTATATATTTACTGAAATAGAAAGATATACGTAATATATTGCTAAATGGAAAGGACAGTATAACAACAGGTAACTGCATAGTATGATACCATTTGTATTTAAACAAATTAACTTAGGCGTGTTATTTATTCCCTTACTCAGACTTTGGGTAGGGCTGTAGAAATGCAGAAGACAGTAGCTAAAACAGAACGGAAACCCCATTACTGAGATCAGGGAGGAGGAGACAGACGGAGAGGGAAATGGGATTGCCATGATCATTAGGAAGCTGGAGCAGGCCACCTCGGGTTTAGAGAGAGAGAGAGTAAGACGGGGACACGATCAGAGGGGCGTGAGCAGTGTATATATTGTCCAGATAGATACTACTCAGTAGATTGTTTTTTACATGTTGAATTTGACCTATGCTTTAAGTTTTTTTTTTAACCTTTTGAAATGTAAGCCACTTGACAGAATCTTTGGTCTTTTTCATTTCTGCATACCTCACAGTCCACAGTATATGAGGAAACTTCAGAAAGTCTGTAGAAAGTGGAATTTAAAGTACAAATTTATTGTACCAGCAGATGGCGTGGAGGTTAAGGCAGCTGGGTCTCACATGGCCGACTGGTATGAGTCCCAGACCTGGCTGCCTGAAAATCACGCTGTTAGTTCCTTAACACAAGTATTGGAGAAAATACTAAAGATAAATGTAAGTGAAAGTTCTTTGTAAGCTGTAAATCAAAATATAAATAAAAGGTAGTAACACCAACAACAACAGCCATGTGGGAATCTAGCACCTTTTACCACTACGCCACTTCCAGTCCTCTACTTCTCTCGGGTCGGGATTTTGGGAATGCATGCACACATCCCTGGCCTGTTCTCAAGACTCTGGGTCTGGGACTTTTTTTTTGGAGAGGTTTTTTTTTTTTTTTTTTTTTTCTAAAGGGCTTCCAGCTTCCCCGCACCTTATGCGCTCGCCAGACAGACAGAGAGAGACATAGAGACAGAAAGCGAGAAATCACCCCCCAGGGGGGATGGTCATGCTGCAATCCCTTCTCCTCCATTCTCCTCTCGGGATCTTGGGCACGCACACACACACATGCCCAGGGTGTTTTAAGCCACCGGGTCCGGGACACAAACCGCGGTGGACTACGTGGAAGTCCAGCGACATAGCCATTACGCTAAGTGCTGGTTCCCTAAGACTCTGAGTCTGGCACTCTTAACTGGGCAGTCAGCCATGTGAGATATGGCCGCCTCATCCCTCACCATGGGCTGGATGAGAGTTCTTTTGTCTAAGATTTCTGTCAGAGGTTCCTGAACTCTGAGTAGTAAAATTTTGCTTACATATATTTTACGTGTTTCAGTACAAGCAGTGGTGTATGGCGATGGACCAAGGAAAAATTCCTTCTGAAATAAAAGCCCTGCTCACTGGAGAAGAGCAGAACAAATCTCAGCAGAACTCAAGCAGGCACACCAAGGCTGCGAAGACAGATGCCAACAGCAATTCCTGTGAGTACAAGCCCCTGGGAGAATTTATTTTGAAGGGAACATCTCAAAGTAGGGTTTCCTACTTTTCCTACTTTCCTCAGCATGACTTTAAATAAATTAAACATTCATGTCATGTGTAATACGCTAAGCAAGTGAAACGACATTAGAGTCTAAATATTGAAATATATTTTATATGCAATCTACAAAGAGCAACTCATACTTTTTTTTTCTTTTGTCTTTTTCTTTTTTTTAGAGAGATTTTTGCTATAGGGCACGTGTGCTTGCCAGAAAGACAGAGAGAGACAGAGAGTCATGCACCCGGCGTGAATTTAAGCCACCGGGTCTGGCTACATGTAGTTCAGTGACATAGCCATTACGCTAACTGCTGGTCCCACAACTGATAAATTTATGAAAAGAAAATTTAAAAATAATGTTTGCCCATGGGCATGTGTGCTTTCCAGAGAAAAACAGATGGGGAGAGGGAGGAAACGGCATCTCAGAATGGGGCACGGCCACGCTGAAAGCCCCTTTCTGTCTCCATCCTGTCAGGACTCTGGGCATGTACTTACAAGTGCCTGGCATGCCTTCCAAAGCACCAGGCTGGAATTCAAACCATGTGGTTGGCCATGTAGTTCCCAGCTCCCTCAACCTCCAGACTACGGGGCCAGCTGGAAATTTTTTATTAAGTAGACTCAGTCCACAAAAGGGGAGGGCATTCATCTAGTTATTGTTGGTGATACTACCTTTTTATTTATATTTTGATTTACAGCTTACAAAGAACTTTCATTTACACTTATCTTTAGTATTTTTTTCCAATATTTGTGTTAAGGAACTATATTTCTTGTTTTATACGTGAAGAAATAACAGGGGCTGGGTAAGGTGTCCAAAGTCACACTGCTGTAATGGTGGAAACTGTCCTTACCATATCCAGGTTCTCTCTAGTACAATAGCCCTTCATTGTGAGAATTTCTTTTTTTTAATTGAAGTAAAATTCACGTAATATAAAATTAACCATTTTAGCTTTATTTCTTTCTTTTATGAGAAATAGAGAGACAGGTCCCCTTGACAGTCTTGCCACACTGCTCTCTGCCAAAGCCTTCAGCCAGCCAGGTTCATGGGCATATGTGGGCATGGCTCGTGTGTTTGGGTTGACCCGAGGTCTGAACCTGGGCCTTCTGTGTGGCTCCGGGATTGTGTAGCAGTACCCTATTGCCTGTGCCACATTGTAAGGCCTACAATTAGCCATTTTAAAGTAACAATATGAAGATACTTAGTACATTTATGGTGTTATAGAACCACTACCTCTATCTTGTTATAAAAATTTAATCATCTGAAAAGCAAAGTCTGAACCCATTAAGTAGTTACTCCCCTTTACTCCCTTTGCCCAGCTTCTGGCAACCATGAATCTGTTCCTATCTGTATGGATTTACTTGTCTTGGATATTTCATATAAATGGAACCATATAGGATGTGACATTTTGTGTCTGGCTTCTTTAGCCTAGCATAATATTTTATCCACATTGTAGCATGTACCAACACCTTATTCCCTGTATGATAAAATATTTCTGTGTATATGTATAACACAGTTGCTTATACACTCATCTGTTGATGGACATTTTTTCCTTCTGACTATTGTGAATAGTGTCTCTATAAAAATGAGTATACAGGGGATCCAGCAGGTGGCATAGTGGTTAAGGTGCTAGACTCCCACATGGCTGACCATGATTCAAGTCCTGGATCTGGTGGCTTGCTTTCTCACTTTCTCTCTGTGTGTGTCTCTCTGGTTGAGTGCATGTGCCTTAGCAACATAAAATAATAATAATTAAAAATAAAATTAAATTCTTAAAAAAATGAGTATGTAAGTATTTATTCACATACCTGTTTGTTTTGTTTTGTTTTTGGTTCTTTTGTGTATAATCTGGGAAGCAAATTCATTGGTCATATGTTAATTCCATTTCTAAATTTTGAGAAACTGCCAAACGTCTTCCCAGTAGCTGAAACATTTTACACTCCCACCAGCAGTGCATGCCTGTTCCAATTATCCCACATCTCGTCGACACTTGTTATTTTCCTTTTTTTGTAATTTGACAGAGAGCATGTGTACTCACCAGAGAAAGACACAGGGAGAGGAAGTGAGAGAGAGCGCACCTTCTAATGGTTGCAGTGGTTGCAATCCTTTCTTCTACATTTCTGCTTTCGGGATTTTGGACACGCACGGACGCATGCCTATGTGTTTCTCAAGCTGCCAGGTCCAGGACTGGAGCCATGTAGTCTGCCATGTGGGATTGATCTGCCTTAACTACCATGCCACTGGCTGGCCCCTATTATATATGACCGAATACTATTGCCAGGGGCCAGCAGATGACATGTTGGTTGAGGTGCTAGACTCCCACATGCCGAGCACTTAGGGTCCTGGACCTGGCGGCTTACTTTTTCAGTCTCTTTCTTTCTCCTTCCGGAGAGTACACAAAGCCTATTCCAAATTTAAAAATAATAATACATTAAAAATTAAAAACATTTTATGGGAACCGGCGGTTAGCGTAATGGCTATGTCGCTGGACTCCCACGTAGTCGACCGCGGTTCATGTCCCGGACCCGGTGGCTTAAAACTCACGCCGGGCGCGTGTGCTTGCATGCCCAAGATCCCGAGAGGAGAATGGAGGAGAAGGGATTGCGTCGTGACCATTCCCCCTGGGGGGTGATTTCTCGCTTTCTGGCTCTATGTCTCTCTCTGTCTGTCTGGCGAGCGCACGCGCCCTACAGTGAAAATCTCTCCAAAAAAAAAAAAAATTAAAAACATTTTATTAAAAAAAAATACCTGTACCAGTAGGTATGAAGAGGTACGTCATTGTAATTTTGATTTGCATTTCGCTAATGACCAATGATATTGAACATCTTTTTGTGTGCTTATTGGCCATTTGTAAAGCTTCAGTGGAGAAATATCTCAGTTCTTTACCCATGTGTTAATTTTGTAGCTGAGTAAGAGTTCTTTACTTATTCTGAATACCAGATATTTATCCAGCACCTGATTCGCGGATACTGCCTCCCGTTGTCTTTTTGCTGTTTTGTTTTGTTTCAGTGATATCACGTATACACGCACTTGAGAAAGGGAGAGAGAATCACCCTCGATAGATAGAGTCTTGTCATGCTATGGTTCCTTCCCCGGTCCTCTAGCTCCTCAGAATCCTGGGCACCCACAGGTGTATCCACGTATTTTGGGGCTGACTGGGAGATATGAATCTGTGGCTGGTAATATGGCTTTCAGCCACACGCGACACGGGCATTACCACTCTGCCACAGTAGCTAAGGCCTTTTCACTTACTTGAGAGTGTCCTTAAATGCATAAAACATTTCAGTTTTGATGAAATATCATTTATATTTTTCCTTTATTGCTTGCGTTTTTGATGTCATGTTTAAGACTCCATAGCCAAATCCAAGGTTATGAAGATTTACCCTTATGCTTTCTTTTCAGATTTTTATAGTTTCGAGTATTTGTTTGGGTCATTGATCCTTTTTAAAAATTTTTAATGTATTATTATTATTTTATTTTGAGCAGAGAGAGACAGAGAAAGGAAAAGTAAGAAAGCAAGCTGCCCGGTCCAGGACTCGAACTGTGTGGTAGGCATGTGGGAGCCCAACGCCTTAACCTCCGCCACCTGCCAGCATCTCGTTGATTCATTTTGAGTTAATTTTTCTATATAGAGTGAGGTACAGGCCTATTTATTACATGCGGATATCCAGTTGTCCCAACACCATTTAATGAAGAGAGTGTAAAGATTTTAGAATGAAGATGTCATGTGTTGATTTCTTTGTTATTGTGATTACTCTGGCAACTTTTAAAATAGTTAAAGGAAAATGTTATAAACTTTCAATCCTTTTTTAAATAATTGTGAGAGGCACTTGCACGTGACAGAGAAAGACAGAGAGAGAAAGAGAGGGAAGAAAGCACCTCCAGTGGGGTGTGGCCATGCTACAATCCGTTTTCCTCCATCCCTACTTTTTTCAGAGCCTTGGATGCACATGTACATGCACCTGGCATGTCTTTCAAGATGCTGGGGCTGAGACTCATACCATGGTTGTCCATATGGGATCCAGTTCCCTTAACTGCTCAGCTATGGGACTGGCCCAACCAGATTTTTAAATCTTTCAAAAAATTTTTTTCTTAAAAAAATACCTATTTTAATTTTATTTATTATTATTGTATTTTAATTTGATCAGAGAGAGAGAGAGAGGGAAAGTGAGAAAGCAAGCCAACAGGTCCAAGACTCAAACTGTAGTTGGCCATGTGGGAGTCCAGCGCCTTAACCACCATACCACCTGCTAGCCCCTAAAACTTTTTTTATAAAATTGAAGGAATTGTTTTTTGGACAACTTTTTTTAAAGAATTATTTAATTTTATTCATTATCATTTTATTTTATTTTTTTAAAGTTGACCAGATAGAGAGAGGGAAAGCAGGAAAGCAAGATGCCATGTACAGAACTCGAACTGCAGTCAGCCATGTGGGAGTCCAGTCGCCTTAACCACCACGCCACCTGCCAGCCCCATGGACAAGTTTTATTAGATGAAATAACATTTGCCTTCATCTAAGTAGAATTAATAAAAAATCCAATTCAGCTAATTTTTCTTTCTGTCTGTATTTAAAAAAAAATAGCCTTCTCATAGATGAAAAAGGAAAAAAAAAGTCATGCATTTTACAACAGATTAGGCAACTTCATTAACTTAATTTTTAAAAAAGAATTATTTATTTTTAATTTTATTTATTCATTTTCTTATTTTATTTTGATCAGAGAAAGACACAGAGAGAGAGAGAGAAAGTGAGAAAGCAAACCACCAGGTCCAGTACTTGAACCATGGTCGGCCATGTGGGAATGTCCAGTGCCTTAACTACTATGCCATCTGCTGGTCCCCCATTAACTTAATTTTATTATTCCTTTTTTTTTTTTCATTCAATCACTTTAATATATATCCATAGGTAATTCATATGAATGTTTTAATTACAAAATTAGCTTCCATGATCCAAATGTGTGGAACTTTAAGAAACCTTTTATTACTCAAAAGATAGCTAAGCATACCAACTTTGATTTCTAAAGCGAGAAATCACCCCCCAGGGAGGATGGTCACGCCGCAATCCTTTCTCCTCCATTCTCCTCTCGAGATCTTGGGCACGCACGCACATGTGCCCGGCGTGAGTTTTAAGCCACTGGGTCCGGGACACGAACCGCGGTCGACTACGTGGGAGTCCAGCGACATAGCCATTACACTAACTGCTGGTTCCCATATTTATTCATTTATTTATTTTAATTTGGCCAAAGGGGAACAGAGAGAGAGAGAGAGGGTCCAGGGCTTGAACCACGGTTGGCCATGTGGGAGTCCAACGCCCTTAACCACCACACCACCAGCTGGCTCCTCTAAAATGTATTTTAAAGACTTATAAAACAAGGCTAATTCTAGAATTATATAGCACTAAGGTAATTAAATTTTGTTATTTTTAATAACTTCATGAATTATTTAAAAATGCTACATTTGGGGGCCAGCAGGTGGCATGGTTGTTAAAGGCACTGGACTAGTTAAATAAGATAACTTTTAAAACATTACATTTGTATTTCCCAGTTTATACATTTCTATATTGACCTAAAAAAAAACCCATGTGAAAAGGTTCCATGTGTTTACAAAGGCAGCAGCACATGCTGTTTCCATGGCAACTTCTTGTTACTGCTTCAAAACAGACTTGCACATAAAGCATCAACAATAAAACTACCATCACACTCCCACTAAAAACCCAACTCTGGGGCCGGCAGGTGGCATGGTGGTTAAGGGTGCTGGACTCTCACATGGCTGACCATGGTTCAAGTCCTGGATCTGGCAGCTTGCTTTCTCACTTTCCATCTCTTTCTCTTTCTCTGGCTCTTGCTCTGTCCCTCTCTTGTCAAATTACAATAAATAAAGTTAAATAAAAAGAATTCTTTAAAAAAAAAAAAGACAAAAAAAACCCCTTTCCCATTCCCAGCAAAAATTACCTAGTACAAGCACTGACTTCAAAAGAAAAGCTTCCTTAGCAGGAATCATTTATAAAATGCAGAGATCTGAACAAGCTAAGTGCTCATGCAGGTAAGACGGGCCTCTCCCCCAAGAGTTTCTTTCTCGAGATGCAGAAAGAATCTTGATAGTTTGGGAAAGCTCATTTTTTAAATGTATTTATACATATTCATAGCTGTGTCTTTGAAAGAACACACCTAGCCTCAACCCTGGAAGATAAAAGCAGAGGGAGAAGCAAAGGCACACAGCTGTAACACAGAGCAGAGCTTCTGAACATCCACGAGGTTGCAGCCGCCAAGGAGGAGAACACTGGTGACTTCGCACAGACCAAGGATCTGAGCTAGGCGGGGCAGTGGGTTTTCCATGCATCTGTTACTCAGAAAAAATAAACCTAAACAACCACTTGAATGTAGCATTCACATTGTCATTAGCTCATGGAATCAAACAAGGAGAAAACTGTGCTCTTGTACTACCCATGCCTAGAATTTTCCATGCACACGTCAGGATCCTAACACCTACAGATTTCCTGTAATACTGTCATCAGCACCTCCCACCGACAAAACATACACTGCGTTATGTGTTGAATCCCTGAGATTTTGTTACCACATATAGTGTTCTAAATTTTACCTTTTCACAAGTTTAATGTGGGCACAGGAGAAAACACCAAGCAATATTTATTGTGCAGTTCCAATGATTATTTGTGGAACTGTGGCTTAGAATCAGCCTTCACAGCCATTTCAATTGCCTACTTTAAACAAAAAGAAATCATCTAATTCTCTACCTATGGCATGATATTTCTCCAAACATCAAAGCACTAAAAGCACTAATGATGCATGTTATAATTTAAAAAATAGTTTTAAAGAATTATTTTTATTAACTTTACTTATTTATTTTGACCAGAGAGGGACAGAGTGAGAGCGAGAGAGGGGGGAGAGGGAAAGTGAGAAAACAAGCCTCCAAGTGGACTCATTACCACGGTTGGCCATGTGGGAGTCCAGTGCCCTTAACCACCATGCCATCTGCTGGCCCTAAAATAAATAAATACATAAATAAAGAAATGTGTGTGAAGTGTGTGTGTGTGTGTGTGTGTGTGTGTGTGTACATATATATATTTTTTTTTTGAGAGAGATATTTTTGCTATAGGGCACATGCACTCACCAGAGAAACAGAAAGCCAGGAAGTCAGGGGGTATGGCCATGCCACAGTCCTTTCTCCTTCATTCTCCTCTTGGGATTTTGGGCGCACATGCACATGTGGCCGGTGTGAGTTCTTTTTTTTTTTTCCCTTTCTTTTCCTTGGGGAGGTTTTTTCCTATAGGGCGCGTGCGCACACCAGAAAGACAGAGACAGAAAGAAAGTGAGAAATCACCCCCAAGGGGGATGGCTACGCTGCAATCCCTTCTCCTGCATTCTCCTCTCAGGATCTTGGGCACGCACGCACATGCGCCCAGCGTGAGTTTAAGCTGCCGGGTCCAGGACTCTAACCGCAGTCGACTACATGGGAGTCCAGTGACATAGCCATTATGCTAACTGCTGGTCCCACACATGTGGCGCCGGTGTGAGTTTTAAGCTGCCGTGTCCAGGACTTGAACTACAGTTGACTACATGGGAGCCCAGTGACATAACCATTATGCCGTCTGCTGGTCCCAATATTTAAAAACTATATAAATATCACATATCATTCCTTTTATAAGATAATCAAAAATAATTTTATTATCTGGAATAAAATTACTGAAACAGAGCCCTTTCACTGTACCTGCAACCTCTGTAAAATTCCACACCCAAAGCAGAATAGCTGGTGAAGTAAGGGTTTCTAAGTGGCAGGAGTGTTTGAACTTGAAGATGAAAAATGGACTGATGATTTTTAAGTTGCTTGGGATTTCAGAGCTTACGGAAGGGATTAGGACTTAGATCTCTGGGATGACTTTACATGGCTTTCACTTTGACGTGTTTCATTTTCATTTGCTTCTTCTCCAGCTTCTTCTGCTCGTGCCTCAAAGCTGCTTCCTCCAGCCTGCGCTGCTTCTCAGGGTCTTCTTCGTTCAGGATTCGCTCCTTCTCTGCTCTTTTGTTCTCCTCACGTCGAGACCGTGCAGCTTCCTGTCTTTGCTCATGTGTCAGCTTCAAGAAATTCTCCTCTACTCGAGCACGGTTCTTATCTGCTTTTTGTTTGCCTTCTCTGTTGAGTCGGAACTTTCTGGCTTTATCGATAGAATAAATCACCATGTTCATCAGGGGTAGCAGGGCCTCCATATCCTTTGGGTAGGTGTTACCCGAGCCTGGCACATTAAATGTAAACAATAGTGTTTTCTTGGTGTCAGGCAGCTTTAAAGGCTGACCTTCCTTTTGCATCATTTTTGGACCAGAGAACTGGTCAGAAAAATGAACAGATTCAATCTTGTCGGCATAGTGTGTGAGAAAGTGAACCATCTTGGTATCCATCATTCCTTCAGTGACTTCTCTCATCTCTGACAGGATAGCTAAGGAGTCTGGCAGTCCATACTTGGTTCCCGACTTAGGTTTAGCACTACAAAACTCACTCAGATCTTGCATCTTCTTCTGCAGTCGCACCAAGGTTTTCCGTGGGCCAACAGCAAACACACAGGCACCCATGTCTTCATCATTCATGGTCACTCTGATTTGCACTTGGTCACTCACTGGCCTCATCATCCATGCCAGGACGTTGAGTAAGTCTTGTCTCTTGAGGAACCTCAACTGAACAAACATGCCCTCACAGTTTACACGCCCGGAACACCACAGGGTGTAGATGTGCTTATTCTCCTGGTTCAACTTCCCTGTGCTTATGGGTTCTCTGTTAGTTACATCGTCCCCTACTAAGGCAAAATTGCTCTCCAAAAGCTCTCTATGGGTGTCAAACCAGGCCTGTGCAAGTTGACTGTTCTTACTCTTCCCGATGATGTAATTCATGATATAGGTGAGCAGACCGGTCATCATCAAAATTTCTAGATAGTATCGCTCCCACCTGTCCTGCAGGTGTGCAGGAACATTAACGGTTGTTATTGGGTCTTTATTTTTGCTAGATGAATCTGGTTTGTCTTCAAAACCTTCAAATTCTTCATCATCGTATGGCCCACTCTCTGTATCTCCCTCCTGGCTATCTGCATTTTCAGAATCTCCTTCCTGGTTTTCATCTTGCCCTTCCAACTCTAGAGTGGCCTCATCTTCTTCATCCTCAGTGGTTATCACCCAATGAGGAGACTCAGTAATAATGACATCCTCAAATTCGGCAAAGTCATTATCATCATACTCTACTATGTCTGCCTCATCCCCAAAATCATCCACCTTGCCTTCAGAGACACTCCCGAACACCAGCAGGACAGCACAGGAAGCCAGGAAGGCGTCCATTGTGCCTAAAAAGAAGCTGCATCCCGGGCTAAACCCTGGCCCAGCGCTCCTGTGGCCGCCACCTCTGCCCCGCCTGCCTGTTGGTGTCACCACCACCCTCGCAGTCACTGCAGTTTTACTGCCCCCAACGCCTGTAGGGCACAGAGGGACAGGTAGCTCAGTTCCGCACGCCACGCCACGCCACGCCACGCCACGCCACGCCACACGCAGGCTTTGCCGTCCGTTACGTAGAAGGCCTGCAGCTGGTCTGCGCCTGCGCGGCCGGCAGCCAGGCATTCCCCTCCCTGGAGGGGAGGAGCTGAGTTTCGGTGGAGTTGCCAGAAATGAGCCCATGGCCACTTGGGGTAGAATGTGGCCCAAATCATTTTTTTTTTTTCAAGGGCCCAGAGTTTAGGAGGTCGGCATTTTTATGTAAATGAGGAATGTGGAAGTGGGGGACTGACTGGTGGGGCCATTCTCCTTGGGGGGATGATACCTCACTATCCCTCTCTCTGTCTCTCTCAGATAAGTGGCCTATGGCAAAAACCTTAAAGAAAAAAAAGACAAACTCCTTTCTTATATTGGTAACTTTGATTTATTTTTCAGGGTGAAAAGCATATAAGGTGATGAAGTGGTCGAAGCCAATATTCTGATTCCCGTGGAGGATGAGAGGGCAAGATTGTACTCCCTGGCTCCATTCGTCCCCACCGTTCAGTAGTCATCTCTGTAAATCTGCAGTTTCTACCAAAACGTGTGATCGTAGGTCTCAAAGGATCTTGCTTTAACTTTCAGCACTTAGAAAATTTACAGATGTTCAGACCTGTTCTGGTTGGTATTGTCACCCGCAACATTTAACATGTTGGGAAGCTTGACAGGAGTAGAGAAAAATGGGTGAAGATTGTATTTTTGCACCTTAACTCCACATTGCTTTATATTGCATTGGTTAATTTATATTCTTTCTATGTAATCCATGTAATTATATGTGTGTGTGAGTTTAAGCGTCACCTCCTTTCATGTTTTTGATTGCCCTACAAAGCAAAACCAAATGGGCTGATTACTGACTGAAGGTTCTCAGCCTTTATGGACCTAATCTTACTTCTTTCTACTTACTTGAGTAACGTTTATTTTCTGCATGAACCATGATTTCTCCTGTGAGCCATTCCAGCATAAGCTGTGAATCTGTATTAACAAATATATACATTTCTATTTTTATAATCCATTATGATATGCCTGTTTTAAATAATGAACATGTTAACAAAATCCATCAGAAAAAAACTTTAAGACAGTCTCTGTTTAAAACCTTTTGTTGCTGTCTTCTTAAACTATCTTTATAAAAAAAAAAAAAAGGCAAATCTTTATTTGCTAGGGCCAAATCTATCCTTAGAGAATAATTAGCCCAATTGTATTTTTAAGCAGGAAGTAACCTTTCAGGCATTTCACCATCATACATTATTTTGACAACCTAGCGTATGTATGTATGTGTTTCTACAATATTTTATGTCTACATTTATGTGGGGAGGACAGGAGTGAATGTTCACATACATTTTCTTGCGTATGCAACTGAAGCAGAGAATTTTTCTGAAGGAAATAGGATGAAACTAGCTGCTGAGATTGAACTTCTGTCTTGAGATCTGGAACAAAACAAGGGACAAATTGCTGGTAGACTCAATTGCTGTAGCCAGAATGAGAGCACTTCGCTTCTTCCCTGACACGTGAGTGTCCTTATGAATGTGTTCTGAGCCAGAAACCCAGGTGGGCAGACTCCGCTGTCAAGGGAAGCGCCAGAGCCCTGGAGCTGCGCTGTAAGCAGCACCGAGGCCAGTGGACCTGGCAGGAGCCATGGAGGTCACGGTATTTCTTCCCTGTCCCCATGATAGCTACCTTTATGTTCTCCCTAACTACCAAACGGGCGATGGTTGGCATCAAGCTTACAATACAATACACTGAGATAGACCTGGGAATCTTTCGGTTTCCTCAGTAAGACACTTTATTTCTCTTCTCTTTCCTGTAGTCGAATCAAGAGCTGTGTTCTCTGTTGCTGCTAAATTTTAATCGATCTTCATTCTAATGAAACAAATATTTGGCTTCCAAAGAAAATATGTTGTTACAAAGGGGCAGTTTAAGAGGAGGCATCATAATCTAGATTTGTCTGTGAGGCAGAACATGAGCTGGACCATATAATTTCGGTTGCCAGGGACTTTCCCCTTCTCGTAGGCCACGGGTTTGAATAAAGTGCCTCCCCCTAGCCTGAGTTCCTGAAGATGTCTTTCTGCTTAGGCTGCAAACTCTAATCTCTAGCCTACTCTAGTCGTGTTGACTACTGACATACCACTAGCCCAGCTTGTTGGGTCTCTCTGTGTTTTGGAAGATTGGGGGTTTAAGAGTATTTAATGTCTTTTTAGCATCTTAAATATACATAGATTAAGGGCTGTTGATATTTAGGCCTTTGGGATTTGTATTTGAAATATAGTGTTCAGATTGTAATGGGTATGTTTTTGCATCTGGTCTACTCACTACTTTATTTTGCAAAACAACCCAAGACTTACTTTTTGTTGCTTTGTTTAGTATCTTTTGAACTCCCCCAGAAGAGTTGTTTTCAAAGTAAACATTCCAAAATGAATGTGGCTCTTCAATGGAATGTCATTGTGCTTCAAGTATTTCTTTTCTTGTTGTAATTCTAAATTACAGGATCACTTGAGCTTTCTCTCCCCTCCATATCTTTACAGGAGCAGTGACTTTGTGTAATCTGGGGTGAAAGTAAATTATAATATATTTAAGTTTATTCCTAAACCTATCTGTTTTCTATTTTGGAGTAGATTGAACCAAGAGAGAGTTCACTGGTCTCTAGAAGGATGTTAGGTTACTGTGGGTACCGTGCTGGCTGTACACTTTGGCTGCTTCGAAGCATCGAATCAATGTCACTGAGGAAAACAGCTGGGGCACCTCCCTGAGCGGTCCAGTTAAGGAGGAGCACACGGACGCCCAGGCCGCTCGCCGGCAGTGTCAGGAAGGCAGAGGCAGTCGGTGCGTTCAGAAGGAGCTACTCTCCTTGTTTTCTGAGATGACAGAGCAATGTTTGCTTCTCCTTTTATTCCCAAAGAAAGCAAGCTAAGGGAGAGATATATATTTGTGTATCTAGAACAGTCATATTTTGTCACTACTTTATCATCAACCTGTTATATGTTAGGGTAACTGAATATAATATGGAATATTAAGTTTGACTATGTCAGGTTGTAAGATATAGTTGAAGTTCTTAAGAATGTTTTTTTCTATTTGATCTAAAATCTTTCTATTGTATCTAATCAGAACTATCTTACTACAGCAGATTCATACCACTGTTTACCAGCTGATCGACAGTATAGATCAGTATCACCATGTACATTTTGTTTTGTCATCTTTACATTATGATGAATTTGACTTGGCTAATTACAAAAAACACAGATTTAAACTAGACTTACCTTTGCAAAGAAGATTTTAGAACATAAATGCTATATTTCATAAGAAATCACTTTCATATTATCAATGACATATTTAGTTTTTAAAAGAAGGAAGATTACTATTAAGCCACATGGTATTTTGGGACATTGAAGGAATTTTTCTTTCTCTGAAGAGCATTGTACAATTATATTTTTATGGGAAATAAAATATCTTCACCAGAAACATCTCAAATCGTCTGTTTTACAATACTGAAATCTGTCTGTAAACACATAGGGTAGCTCAAAAGAGTGGCCTTGAGGCAGAAGAACTGGTCTTAAGTCCACTTTCTTAGGTCACTTTGAATTTCATCTGTCAGCCTGTTTCTTCATTTATTAAAAAGGAGGAAGATAACTTTTACGGAGTAATTGGTGAGCCAAATCACAGTTAGGAAAAACTGTTGGTTAAAGAGTAAAAACTGCATTCAGTTTAAACATTCACATTATGCCTGTGTTAGGATTTAAGCTGTTGTTAGGATTTAAGTCATTGAAGACAAATAGGCTTACTGAATAAACCAGAATCTAAATACGTATTGTTGTAGGTATCAGCCTTCCCCTCTCTTTTTAAGCTTTTTCATTATGTCTGTACTTGGAATGGTGTAACTGAAGGCTCTTTAGCAATAATAGCCTTCTATTAATTAAGCTAACAACCAATGTGCCAACTGGCTATATCACCCTACAGTTAACGTCATAAACGTTCAGGCTGCTAGGTAACTTGACTCTCTTTTTTCCCCGCGCAGTCCATTTTTCTTAACTGTAGGTTGGTCATGAATCAGAGCCAGGACTGCCTTGTAAGGCCGTGCCTTCTGTGCGCACGAAGGAACCCAGTTCAGGAGGCCAAAGGGCCTGCACACTAGCTCACACTGCCCGCAACAAGCTGTATGGAAGAAGGGCCACCTCCATCTGCTCTCCAAGGTGCACAGTGGCAGAGGACTGCCCAGAAGAGCTGCCTTTTGTGTACAGGGGATACCGCATTTATTTGTTTGTTTATATTTGCACTCACCAAAGAGAGACTGAGAGAAAAAGAGAAGGAAGGTGAGAATGTGCCCCATCCCACCCCCACCCCCGTGGGAAGTAAAAAGAAGATAAACAGTTGTGGACTGGTAGATTTGCAACAACTGATCTTGGTTGGAGGGGGCCTGATTTGTATCTGCCAATTTCTGGGATGGAAGTATTTTCACCAAGGCTGATTTCAAGCTCCTGTGTGGTCGACTACCTTCTAAAATTTTTAAATTTAGGACTTGGCTCTTGTAAGCATGTACGAGCCAATTTGATGTCACAGGATAACCCATAATATTAGGTTGTTGGGAGATTCATGATATATTTTACTATGCAAAAATGAGTCATGATTTTCCCGACGACCCAACATACGATATGAGGGTGGAATATTGACTTTCATCTGAAGATAAACAATACCCAAGAAAAGTTGACAAAAGGTGTGTATTATCTCACATAATTAATGAAGGCTAATAGTGGCATGAAGGATCCAGGATCTTTCCTTTCTGCTTCTCTACCAACCTCAGCAGACTGGCTGCTCCCCTCAGCTCATCTCGAGGTGGTAAGATGACAAGGACCACTCTTGCAACTGTATCTAAGGAAAAAAAGCTTTTTCTTACACGCTTCTTTTTTCTCCAGGGTAACTTGAATGACATCTACCATCACATTCATTTTGACCCGGCAGCTCCACTTTTACAGACTTAGGCATCAGATACATTGGCTCTTGGGTTCAAAAATATCTGAGCACGATGTTTCCTGCCTCATCATCTGTAAGAACAAAGGATTAGAATCAAGAGCCGGCAGACGGCCTGGTGGTGGAGGCAGTGGATCCCACATGACTGCCCATGGTTCAAGTCCTGATCTGGCAACATTCTTTTTTCCTCTCTCCCTAAACTGAAGAAAAATAATGAAATAAAATGAAATAAATAATTATTTTTTTAAAAAAGATGAGGAACAACTTAAATGGCCACTCATAAGGGGACAGTTTGGGTCAGCCCTGTGGCTGCGTGCTTGAGGGAGCTAGATCCCACATGGCCAATCATGCAGTGTGAGTCCCGGATCTTGTGAGACATGCTGGGCAGGTGGTGTGGGTGCATGTCTGAAATCATGACAGGACAGCAAGACAGAGGAAAAAGGATTGCGACATGGCCACATCCCACGGGGGTGCTTTCATCCTCTCCCTGCCCCTCCCTGCTTGTCTCCCTCTAATGAGCACATGTGCCCTCTAGCCAAAATTTAAAATCAATAAATGGGGCAACCCATTTTTCAGGGCTCCTTCCTTCTTGGGAGCTCTGTTTTTCCTTTCCTCTCTTTTAATAAACTCCCTGCTTTGCTACACCCAAATAAATAAATGAAAATTTAAATTAAAAAAATAAAATCAATAATGGCGCATCTTTACTATGGCATTATTTTCTTGAGAGTTAAAAAAATTTTTTTTACTGGGAACCAGCAGTTAGCGTAATGGCTATGTCGCTGGACTCCCACGTAGTTGACCACGGTTCGCGTCCCGGACCCGGTGGCTTAAAACTCACGCCAGGTGCGTGTGCGTGCGTGCCCAAGATCCCAAGAGGAGAATGGAGGAGAAGGGATTGCAGCGTGACCATCCCCTCTGGGGGTGATTTCTCGCTTTCTGTCTCTATGTCTCTCTCTGGCTGGCTGGCGAGTGCATGAGCCCTATAGTGAAAAAAAAAAAAAAAACTTAAAAAATTTTTTTATTTGTTCGTTGTCATTTATCAAGAGACCATGTTCCGGACTCAAAGTTGGTCATGTGGGAATCCAGCACAATCAGCACGCCACCTACTGGCCCCCTTACAATGGCATTTTATGCAGTCATTAAAAAGAATATCCTGACCCAGCCTGGTGGTTGGCTAGTGGAAAATTAAACTGCAGTGCTGGAAGCCACATGGCTGACCGTGGCTTTGGATCCTGGGGTTGGTCTGAAAAACACACTGGGCACACATGCAGATGGCCAGGATACTGAGGCGCTGGAGGACTGAGGGAAGGGGTCACAGCATCACCCGGCCCTGTGGAGAGTGCTCCTGCCCCGCCCCTCCTTTCTCTCATGATCCTCACGCTCTCTGTCAGGAATAAAATAAAACCCCTAGGCTGGCCCCATAGTGCAGTGCTAGCCACTCTGCACTGGGTACGAGATTCCGCTGGGCCAACCCCAGTTTGAATCATAGCACCAGAGGCTTGAAAAACACATGAAGCATGTGTATGTGTGTACTCCAAATTCTGACGGGATGAAGAAAAGGAGGAAAAAGAATTAGTATGTCACTAGGCCCCATTGGGGTTGTTTTCTCTCTGTCTCTTTCTCTGGCAGGCACACATGCCCTCTGGCATCAAAAAAACATCCTAATATGGAGGGATCATTAAGACATATTAAGTGAGGGGCCAGCAGGTGGCATAGTAGTTGGGGTGCTGGACTCCCACGTGGCTGACCACTGTTCAGGTCCCAGACCTGGCAGCTTCATTTCTCACTTTCACTCTCTCTCTCTCTGTCTCTTTCTGGTGAATTCAAAATAAAAACAACAATAATAATAAATAGAATTAAATAAACAATTATTTTTTTTTTTTGAGAGATTTTCACTGTAGGGCACGTGCGCTTGCCAGACAGACAGAGAGACAGAAAGCGAGAAATCACCCCCCAGGGGGGATGGTCACACCGCAATCCCTTCTCCTCCATTCTCCTCTCGGGATCTTGGGCACGCACGCACACGTGCCCTGCGTGAGTTTTTTAAGCCACCGGGTCCAGGACACGAACTGCGGTCGACTACGTGGGAGTCCAGCGACATAGCCATTACGCTAACTGCTGGTTCCCAATGAACAATTATTTTTAAAAAGACATATCAAGTAAAAAACAAAATATCAAATAGTTTGTATAATGTGATCTTAGTTGTATTTTTTTAAATAATTATTTTTATTTAACTTTATTTATTATTATTATCATTATTATTTTCCAGTTTGATCCGAGAGAGACAGAGAGAGAGAGAGGAAGGGAGCAAGCAAGCCACCAGGTCCGAGACTTGAACCATGGTTGGCCATGTGGGAGTCCAGCGCCTTTAACCACCACGCCACTTGCCGGCCCCAATTATTTTTAAAGAGGGTTTTGCTATAGGGCACATGCACTTGCCAGAAAGACAGAGAGAGACAGAGACACAGCGAGAAATCACCCCCAGGGGGGATGGCCACACCACAATCCGATGTCCTCCATTCTCCTCTCGGGATCTTGGGTATGCACGCACACGTGCACAGCGTGAGTTTAAGCCACCAGGTCTGGGACTCAAACCACAGTCAACTACATGGGAGTCCAGCAACATAGCCATTATGCCAATTGCTGGTCCCACTTGTATTAGGGGTGTGGTATATATATTCATATACAGTACTTACGTTTAATGTATATTTGTATTTAAAAAATTATCTTTAATTTAATTTAATTATTTTATTATTATTAAATTTGCTATAGGCCATGTGCACTCACCACAGAGAGACAGAGATAAAAGCTAGAAAGCAAGCCACCTAGTCTGGGACTTGAACTACAGTCAGCCATGTTAGAGACCAGCACCTTAGCCACCATGCCACCTGCTGACCCTAGGTCTTATGGGTATTCTTAGAGGTTTTTTGCCTTAGAGTGTGTGTGCTCACCGGGGAGAGAGAGAGAGAATGTGAAAGGGAAAGTAAGAAGTCACCCCCCGGGGGGGATGGCCACGCTGCAATCCCTTCTCTTCCCAGGATCTTGGGTACACACACACCCCTAGTGTGATTTTCAAGCTACCGGGTCCAGCACTCAAATCAAGGTTGGCTATGCGGGAGTCCAGCCACATAATTGTTATGCCATCTGCTGGCCCAAGGATTTATGATTTTTAAAAAATTAAACAACTGAGGGCCAGCAGGTGGCATGGTGGTTAAGATGCTGGACACTCATGGCCAACCACAGTTCGAGTCCTGGCCCTGTGGCTTGCTACCTCACTGTCCCTCTCTCTCTGGTCAAATTAAAATGAATGAATAAATAAAATTAAATAAATAATTTGAAAAGAAATGAAAAAACCCTTTATCTCTGGTGAAGGGTACTGGAAGACAAGAAATTCAGGAGAAGAGCAAAATCTACTTTTCACCTCTTTCTTTTGTGATAAGACAGAGTCGAGAATGGTCTCGAATGATTCCTTCCTCCTGGCAGTCACATGCTGTGTA